TTTGTTTGGGTGTGGTCACACCATGCCCATCTGGTAAGACACACACATCTTTTACCAGGGTATTTGTAACCCCGTTACACGCTATGAGGATATATTTCAGTGGCCGTTCCAGCTGGACGGCATTGGAGCGACCCACTTAGTGCTGTTTGGGATTTGCTAAAGTGACTGATGAAAAGACACAGGTCCTACGCTTGAATTCACTAGATGAGCGCTCAACAACTTAGAATGAATTCTAGTGCGACTGCCAACAGGAATATAATCCTTAAGAGGCTACTATTTAATTAGATCAACTTGAGACGCAATGTAGATGTAATGCTTATCGTTGTCAGACCCGACTAGTTATGCAAGAGTTTACGCAGTGGTCGCGGCCAAGAGATAATTGAAATCAGCCGCCTGCTTGAAGACAATTCGATGCATGCTTCAGTAGCGGCATCGCTGGATCATGAATCCAGCCATTTGATGTCAACCTCACTTTTACCGCCACATGGGTGATGCAGTCAGATGGTCATGGAGATAAATGCTACAGTAGTCTCTTCATGAATCAAACAGACCGCTTGTGTGTGGTACTTAGTTCATAGCGGGCATGTTAAATGGCACGAATAAGCCCCACGGAGCATCTTCTAAAGACCGCATCGAATAGTCTTTTTAGCTTATCTAGACGATTTCTTTGTGATTGATCCAACGTAAGACGGCGTTGTGCGAAATTTTAATTAAAGAGATTGATGATCTACGTAATGGGTGAGTATCGAGGTACGTTGCCACCTGCTGTATGTACCTTGAAGCTGAATGAACGCCGTAATGCTCGCAAGATCGTCGTTCGTGTCCAGTCGTGCGACTGCAAGCCAAGACGACCCAAACATACTTCTCATCACTGACACAACCATGACCCAGCATCCATGTCGACCGCTGGTTGGGCCATTGATGTACGCTGCCGTATGTACGACATCAGATGTTGCGCGTGCGGCGGAGGGATGGTTCATCTTTTACAAAGCACCCTTCGATGCAACATTGTTGGATGCGCGTCGGGTACAGTTGTATCTTGTTTTGATTCAAGATGCAGCAATAAAGTACGGTGGAGGTGCGAATGATCTCGTAAGATGCGCTGATGTAAGCTGGGCTTCGGATATCTATATACCATGACTATGTTTTAAGAAAGAGCTTTCGCACAGACGATCAAGAGACCAACGGATGCTACCGCTTCACCCACTGAGGCTGATAGCGTTGTGCTGCACGCTGCAGCTGAAGAATTGTTGTGGCTGCGTTGCCTTCTAGGGCGACCGCGTAGGTCCAAGACACAATAGCCCTAGTGTGCAACTAATTTTTGGAACAATGCAACGGACTTATTGCTGGTCAATTTTACGCTTCATAGTAGCTTATTTTGGAAACTATCTTATAGGTCTCCTTTCTAGTACTCATCATTGCAATTCACCATGGGTCATTCTGAACTCCAAAAAAAGTCTAGAAGACAACAGCGTAATGCGTACATGTACAGAGCGCCTAACCCTTGCCTCAACGAAATATGAACCGCGATATCAATGTCGAGGCTGACACGGGACTTCACCGTCACTTCAAGCTGTGAATACGCTTTATTATACCCGTGAGCGTGCAGGTACAGTTACCGGCCAAGTTGAAACAACAAGCCTGGGTTCTGCTTGCTGGTGGCGTCTTTGTATTGCATAATTCTGACTCTTACCCGAGAAGATATCAATAGAAGCTGGTCGGATCGTAACGACAGCGATACCAGAAGATATAATTGAAGCGAAGCTTTAAACTCCCTTGCGAACTCGGAATGAGGGCCTAAACCCGGCTCAATAGATGCTATTTATACCCCTTTCAACTTTAAAGGCCCACTTATCGTTTGACGTGTCGCCGAAGCTGTGAGTAAAAACTAGTTTTTGGTCAAGTGTGCCGTTCGTTAATTTTCGTGTCTGGGTGAATATTTGCCTTTGCGCCACTTTTGCCGCTAGAGATGTTACGAGGCATCTTCGTTTCTGTGATTCCACGACTGCTTTGCTGTACTTATAGGTGTGCGTTGAGACAACACTGTCTATGAAACACGCCGTAGCTGCGAATCCTTCCACCACACTAAACAAAACGTTTGACTGCGCATGGTGTGTACTTTGTGCGCACTCGCGTGCACGGTAGTCGCTCGCATAGTCTCCAGCCGTGCCATAGCTGCAGCGGACTCCGAATGTTCTTTTAGCACTCCGCCCACGCTCAATCCTCATTGGTGTATTCACGCCTATCTTGCTCACTATATTGCAGTTTTACGATTTCCGCATTTATATGGGATATCACACAAAAAAACGCATAAATTTGATGTGATTAGGTACCTATCCCGCATTGATTTAGGTATACATTAAACGATGGTGAGTCGAATCTTGAGCAAAGACGAAGTACTGGGACTCGTATTTTGATGAAGCACGTTGAACAAGCTACGCGATGAAGTACAATGGTCAACATCTAGGTTCAGCATGAGAGTAACGATCCTTCACAACAAAACTCTGTGGGGTACGTCGTCACGCAATAAAATTGGTAGATTTTAGTACTTATAGGAGGGTAAGACGTATACATTAGTCTGTAATCTCAACTTGCAGCAAGACAGCTGTAGCTATTTGCTTAAAAGGAAAATAAGCTAAGGTAACCGACCTAACGTCTATGCAAGAGCCAGTACGATTGCAGCGGATGGCAATTCGCTACCTCCAACTACAAAAACCTGAACCAAGGCACAAAAAAAACTTTGTTCAAATTCGAAACTGTATTTAATTGTTTTAGTTGCGGCAGAGCCGCCAATATCTAAGACCCTAGGTCCTAATTAGAATACTAATACCTAATTAATATAACAAGACCTAGTTAATATAGTAGTATGCGTTACTAATGGCCCTCCGGCCACGTGGTAGCTTCTTGTTACGGTGTAGCCACACCACTGTGTCATTGCGCTAACTGTGTAATACACACCTATGTATGGTCGCACAAAATTCTTGTGCGACCCGCCCTATCATACAAGGGTACGTGTAACACCGTTACAAGATGCACCAGGATTCGGCTTAAGTAGGCTTTACATATCAGTCTTAAGAGCTTGAGTTCATTCAAGTCCTTCGTGTAGGCGAATTTCCCATTAGTTTTTGCGCGCTGTCGTGTTAGCCTTCTCAGATACAAGGTATCAGACTCGAAGAATACGGCGTTGGCGACTCACTACAATAAATAAAGCATTAATCATTTCATTAATCGACTTATGGACGACACTGTATCGATGATTTCATTGAGCTGTTCATATATCTCTGTTGGATGATGTAAAGTCAAATATTTGAACCCTAAGCTGTGCTGTAGTGGAGTTATAATCTCGCACCACATTATAAACAACGTTTGATATATTGCTAAGCTTATAGCTATATATATCCTCTTCCGTTCCGGGTACGAGCTTCGAACGGTCGAGACCTCCGCAGAGTCGACCGACAAACCCGTCATGTATTACCAAAGATGGGATCGTATGTTAAACCAGGCTTGAGATCAACCTGCATTTTTGCACTGTATATCCTCAGATTCTATCACGATGCCTCAAAAGACCGCTGGCGCTTACACGAAAGCCCCGCATCGCGGACATAGGTCATATCCGTCTTGGCAATCTCAGTGCCTTTGCATGTTCTGGATGTTTTCCGCGGTAAAAAGCGCACGACGTCGGCGTACACTGACGTCAACAACCGACAAAATCGGTCAATGAGCCTTACCTCTCCAAAGAGCGTCGCCGGATATCTTTGACGTTGATCTCTATGAGGTACAATAGAGTTGCGTACTATATCGCAGACCCTACGCCTACTGAAGCTTGTCACTAGAAGTTAAAATTTGTCAGGTACCATGCACTTCTCTTACATTGGAACTTTGGTAAGTCGTCGACTCAGCTCTGTTAAATTATCACTTTTAGCGCGGGCACGCGCTGCAACACTAGAATGCAGGACGTAATATTGTTGTGATAATCTTATATCAATATTGCTGGGAGCCTTGAATATAGCGAGGAAGACATGGACTTCTGGAGGCCGCAGTCTCCAATGTATGTACCTCTTATACGGAGTTTTAGTCTTTGTTGCTGGAAAGCTACTATAACAGATTAGTGCATCTCTGAGCTGGGTCGAAACAAATGGCCGTGCACCTTGCACAAAGAAAGATTGTTGGCCCAAAACGTTTGTGCTTACGAACGTTTGATATTATTTCACCCAGAAGCGAAACCAAGAGCCTCTCACGCCACAATATACCTTCTTTGCTCTGCTACTTTATAGTGGTGTATATGCTTTGAAATAGTTTCTTGAAATCATACTACATATACGCTCACCATATCCAAAAAAATAACATCTTATGGTATGACGCAGGGCTCACAAATAAAGTGTGTCACAGACCTCTTCTTTACGAATTCCCATAATCTTGATAAATACCGATACTTTGATACTTCTGTATACTTCTCAATCATACGAAAGTGTAATATGAGTCTCGTACAATCGTACAATACTGCATTTTGCACAATCGTAATATACCCGTACATAATATTACAGAACGTACTTTGTTACACCTCCCCCATCCAGATTCGTACCAACCAAAATGCACATGGAGTTTCCGTTCCACAATACATTGCCTGGTCTGGCAAGTACCTTTGCCTTGGATGTCCTATTCTATCATCTCACAAGGCTTGGAGATTCTCCGGGAAAGGGGTGGTCGACGCGACTGACGCTATTGAGCTATACTCGGTGACGAGGTTGTGGAGTTCTGTGATAAGGATGATTACAGAAGCTCTCCGAATCCTGACTTAGCACCTTTGCCCTCACCTGGAGATATTTGTCCGAGTCGCTTACCGAGAAGGAGGCAGTTACTGCGCTCCGCGCCGTCTCTGGAATAACTGATAAACCCGTGACGATGATGTCCAGCGCTTTATCAACAGCTCGAATCAAATATGAGATATTAGCTTGTATGTCTGATAGGACAAGATTTCCACCGACGCTTGCCGATTTCATTACATTGTGACTGCGGTTTTGTCAGATCAAAAGACTCTCATTGCGCTGAATTGATACCTTACCCGTCTATGTGTTCGGGCCTATCGTTCACATTGAGAGCATAACGAGCACGAGCGCGTAAATTTATTTTCGGAAGCGCTTTCTGGCCCCACGTACAACAAGTTCTTTTAAGTCCACCTGGAGAACCCGTACCCTTCATGACGGATGTATCTTGGATACGGAATGCTGACGAGGGTGCTGACAAGTGCCGTACTCAATTGTAAGGAAAATATGTCAGGCGTATGAAAGAGTGTCGATTGATATATGACGTTGCGAGCACATAGCACAATGCAGACGTCGAGTTTGGAATCCATCACTTCTTATTTTTGCTGTAAGCAATCTGCTCATCACTATGAGACAGCTGTTACAGCTACCAACTAAGTGCCAGACATACGACAAATTTGGCCCCCGCTCGCTGGTGGGAACCACGTTGCGGCGGGTGGGCCAGCCAATTTTTAATAGAGGAGAAAAG